GTGCAACCATACGCTACGGGTGAAAAATAGGCCTATGTGTAGAATGCATGTAGGCTGCGCTGGAATGCGACGTTGAAAGTTTAAACTTTGAATACCCAATCAAATGCTGCCACCTTCGTCGAGTCAGCTTCTATAGCAAAATTCTCACACTTAGACCCACAGACATTATGAATGGTAGCATGTATTTCATTTTTTTTCTCTCTGGCTAATTGTCCACGTTTGCTCCAATCTGCTAAACAAGAAATGATAAATTTATTTATATTTACTTCATCATTCATAATTCAACGTAAACTGAAAAAAGAATGTAACATAATTCCAAATATTTATATTAACTAGTATAAATAATATATCATATTGAAAATATATATAAAAAATTGTTCGATTATTTATGGCAAAACAACTAAAGCTAATAATTAACGACAAATAATAATACAAACAATTATGAAATTACAGTACTAATGCCATCCCAAAACAAGCATCAACAGCCACACAAAAATGACTTTATAATTATCCATTTCTCCACATTATAAGCTTTATCATTTACCAGAATAAAATAAAATAAAATAAAATTTATTCATCAAAACCGCCAAACAAGTAGGCCTAGACAATAAAACATACCGTACATACTTAAACAATACATTTACTAAACTAATTGAATTAAATAATAAAAACAAACTATATTAAAAGGATAAGTGTCCTGCATGAGTGATATCAACATGAGGCACGAAATCGGCGTTCGACAGAGTTAACACCTTCAACAGCAGAATAATATTCAAATTCTAAACTGGTTTTAGGGATGGCATGCCTCAAATAACATTATATTTCATGTGTTACAACATACTGTACAAATAATTTTTTCTTATTTTTTTTAAATGTACCTAGGACCACAAGCCTGTGGTTCTTAAATCTCACAGACGGCCAGTCATCTACAACCACTGCTGGGACATCGGAGCCTTAAATACTTCACTAAGCCTGTATTTTGAGAAAAAGTGAATTGCTGTCTGAAAGTATTATTGGTTTATGTTTATTTTAATAGTTTACATTTACGTGCCATCAATTTTCTTGCTTATTTTTTATCCAGCTGCTGAGACAGCACGGGCCCTTCTTGCCGCTTTGGGCCGCTTAAATGCAGCGTGACACGCCAAGCTATACAATCGAAAGCGTCGTTCGTAACAGACGAAATGTTTTACTGTATTCGGATTCGTAACTTATTTTGACAATTATTTATTTTTGGCCCAGTATGCTCCAAATATGCTACAAAACCAAAATGGCCAGACAAGAAAGAAGCATCTGAAGAAATTTTAAAACTACCAAAGCTTGAAACTTTGTTGTGTACACTCGCAGAATATAGACACAGATGCATTAGAAATTGAGCCATATTCTTTAGCGCCTTGGTGGCCCATGGCCCGCCGTTTAAAAACGGACCGCGAGTTTAAAATATTTGGACCGCGAGATATCAGGAATGTTTTCATTGTCTCATCTCTTAGGAATAAGTCAATCCGATCAAAAAAGGCTAAGACATCTCATTTTACGAAGTTCCCCAACTGATGATGATACAGAAAAAAGAGCGTTCATTTCAGGTGGCATGCCATTTGCTCTCTCAGATTGTGAAGTTAGTGCTGAAGATGGGAATTTTCTGAAATAAGAGAATATTGATTATGGATGTATGGATTCACATTATACATGCTCCCTTTAATTTAAAATTAATTGGTTCATGTTTAATTCTATTTTCGAGAAGCGTGAATAAATATAATATTTTGATGAGTTTATTTGACATTTAAGCGGCTAGACCCAATATTGTAGGTACGGTAAATAAGTACGTTAACTTATAAATTAAACATCAACCTGGAAAAGGAAATTTGCAGAACACTATAATTACAGTTTTTATTACAATGACAATAATTGTTTGATCGTGCTTTTTAACGCCTGAGTCTGAATAATCACTAAACGAGCAACATGCAGCTGTTTATTTCTCAGTGTATTACATACACTGATCTATTAGGCACATATTACGATTTAAATGTTTTCTTAGTGCATTTTAATTTAAGCAATAACGGGAAGGTTCTCAATATATACAATTGAAAGAGCATGTTACCTCAGTCCAAAACGATCAATATTAAAAGAAGTGTAGTGAGTTAATGTTCATTTTCTCATGAGACCTATGTTACATTTGAGAATGAACTTCTAAAGGAACTCCTCTAGGCCTCGCGGAAGTCTATCTCTTAGTCTTCTTCAGAGCTAACTCATTTGGATTGAATCGAAATGAGTTCCTATGGGTATGGTACTGGAAAAGTTGCAGGTTTGAATCTCGCCAGACACTTTTCTTACAACTGGAACTGGAGCTACGGTTGAGTATTATTATTATTATTATTATTATTGTTATTATATATAGACCTATATATATATATATATATATATATATATATATATATATAAATTAAGATAGCCGTGAACACTTAATTTTTTTTTCAGATTCAGGGCAGCGCTGTTCCATTTTCTTTTCAGTTGGTGGGTTATGGTAGTCTCTTTTTGATCGTGTGACACCCTCCCGCCAATATGATTCTCTTAAGGAATATATTACAAAATTTAAAAGTTCTATATACTGTACAAATTCATCAATTACCACATCCTATTTTATGGTATCGTATATATAACTTTAGAAAAGATTGAAAGTGATGTATTATTAGATTGAATAAATTAAAAACAAAAATTACACAATTCGATATTTGGTGTCGAAGAGAAATACATTGTCCAATTGAACTGAAGTATAATACTATTTTTGATCGTTTCATTTTAGATTCTAATCGACAAGATCAAGCAACACAAATCTGACCATGGAGCAAAGCAAAATGGAAAAATCTGTATCGACAATAGACCCACTAACGTTCCCGCATGAGACGTATCTGTCAAACACTAAAGATGAACCAACAGAAGACGGCTATGTGTCTATATTGAAGGATTTTAGTACTAGCACCTCTGCACACGGAATCCCGCATATTATCACCGCTAAAAATATGTTCATGAAATTATGCTGGTGTATCGTCACTTCCGGTGCATTGGCAGTGCTTCTTCTACAGGAGTACGACCTTTTGAAAGACTACTTTAGTCATCCGTATGCGACCAAGATCGACCTCATCACAAGAACGAATTTAATTTTTCCGGCGGTTACTGTTTGCAATATGAACAAAATGCGTCGCTCGGCTCTGAATGGAACGCGTTTTGAGGGTTTACTGGAGGTAGACGATGGAACTGATGACCAGACACAACAACCTGAAAATACGTTCACTACATTACAACAGTCTTACACACTGGACGGAAATTCAGCAGATATTAATGAAACAACCACATTTGTAGATGATAGTATTGTTCCTACATCTGCAGCTAGTCAGGAAGAATCTGCTGATGATTCCGTAACGGCGGGGTCAGTTCACGAGCGCCGTAAACGGAGAGCAAAGGATACAATAAAGCGTCGGACCCGCGACACGTCATCTTCCTCTTCATCATCTTCCAGCGAGCGATACAATAATTTTGATTGGCTGGATGATTTTGATTTTGATGAAGATGACTTTGTTGACGACGATACCTATGACTGGAATGGGGTTATGGACGAAAATGATTGGGAGGGTTTTTACGACAATTCGAAGTCGGAAGATTTTAGTGACATACTAAACGTGGCCAATCCAACAAAAGAAGAATTACAAAATCACGGCCACCAACCAGAGGAGTTTATACTACAGTGCACTTTTGATAAGAAGCCATGTAACTACACGCAAGTATCGTTTTTCTTTATTCTGATCTGCTGAGCCTAAAACTCTCAATCAGTAGCCACCTACATATCACTACCGCCTAAACAGAACCAATTTGATGTGAACCACTCAATTATATATACATATTGAGGGGTTTGGAATACTGCCACTAATGAAGGTGTCACGGCTAACTGTAAATTCAAATCTAGATCTAAATTCATATTCTAGTAGTAGTTAGTAGAAAAGCTTTATTTATTCACGAAAACGTAACTCAACAATGTACATGCTGTTTTCATCATGGCCGTGATAAAAGAGAAAATAAAATATAAATCAAATTTACAAAAGATACAATACAAAGGAGAACTTACAACAGTTTAACAAAATATATAATATATTTTGTATATATTTAAAACAATATTTAGGATGACAAAATAAATAAATACTGTAAATATATATATATATATATATACATATTATGCTTTCATGCATCTTCTTGATGTTTTTTCGTAATAACGTAATTCCGACAAGGAGAGTATTATATACATACAGTACTAATATTATTATTAATATTATTATTATTATTATTATTATTATTATTATTGATATTATTATTATGTTAATATTATAACAGTAAGTTTTAATTTTGAAGAGATGTTGCGGTTAAAACATAAACCATCATCAGTTCAACACAAAAGAAAGAAATAAACAAAAAACACTGCTCTCAACATATTTAATTAGAAAAGTTCATGCATAAGCATGATGCAGTCTTTGTATTGTTATGGTGTGATTATTGTGTGGTCGATAGTCAGATATTTCAATTAGATGGACAGCGTTGTTTAGGTCTGGATTGGACTTAAACTTTCTACAAAACAGTAAAAAGTTTACCCTGCTTATTATATATATATATATACATA